CATCCGTCCGTCCGTCTGTTCTTCCGTCTGTCCGTCTGTTCGTCTGTCCGTCTGTCCGTCCGTCTGTCAGTCTCTGTCCGTCTGTCCGTGTGCCCCAAGGCGGTAGAGACCGCGAGGGGCTCAGCTTCCTGCTCTCAATGTCCTGTTTGGCGTCGCGTTTAGAAACACGGTCTGACAAAATAAGCTGCCATGTTTATTCACGCAGTAGGTGCACCAGTAAACATTTATCCCGCCGGCCCTGACAGGTGGTAGAACTTCCATTCCGATAAACAATGGCACGGCGGGTAATCGTATCAATTTCAGAGATTGTTTCCTGAAAAACGTGCAAACACTCACAAACACGGACTGGAGCTTAGTAGTTTAGAATTTTTGTGTGGATGTGATTTATTGTTACAAGACGCTATCGCTTGAAGTCATGCCAGTGTTGACGATGTTTCATCGCTAGCCATGCTTTGACGGTGCAACAGTTTTTTGTTTTGTAATTTTATTTTGGTAGAGATACCGGCATCGGCACGCAAGCTACCTGCACCGCTCACTGCTGTGCCTTTTCAGGCAGCATGTAAATATTATACCGAAATCCCACAGCTCGACGTTTTTCCTTGGTGACCAGCCCAAAACGTCTAAACAGCCCCGATAAGGCGGGCTGTCATATGTAGTACCGTGAGGTTAAGCTAATCAAATCATCGCCGATTGTGCTGTGATTCGCGTCAGATTTAAACAAATTATCGTAAGCTGAGTTGCTATGATTGACTTATGAAATAATGTAATCGCTGCGCTTCTGGATAACCGTAGTCTGTGTCCATAAACTCGGATGCTCTCACGAATTCTCCCGGGTATATAAAAACCTTCCAAGCTCACACGAGTTTGCCTCGGGGAGGATCCGACAGAACTCTCACGCGACCGCCCGAGGGGGAGGTCGCTAGCTCGACCGATCCCACGGAGAATTCGCTGCGGTCAGCAGTGAGAAGTGACTTCCTGTATGTGCAGTGTGCACGGAGGTGTTGACCGTGACGAGCGCAAATTTCTAGCGGCACTGGTCAGATAGGGATGAGTATTGCAAAAAAAAAAACGCGAAAGACAGCGTGGCAGACACTCGCCATATTTTCTGAACAGTCTCCAGTCTGGTTTGGACACACTGACACACTGAATAGAGTTGCTGAGACTCAGACATGCATGGTGTGTAATGCGAATTCTCGCGTGATTTCAATTTGTCAACTGAATGCAACGTTGCAGTCCATTGCCCATCGCGGTCCCCGGGGTTTGTCGTGAAAATGTGGTAGACGCTGATTCTGAGTCGCTGTAGGCTTTCTGCTACGCCAACTTTTCTTCGACAAAACATTGTTTTTGTTTTGTCAACCAGCATTATCTTGTCCATTCCATGTACAACTACCACGCCTCGTGACGTCCATTCTGCATTTTTTTTGTCTTCATTGCTTATTGTTTAGTGTTTGCATAAAACATATTGCTGGGAATTGGAATATTAGCTAGCGAATTGCCCTTTTCATTATGCTAAATGACTCGGCCACGATCGAGGCAAATGAAAATGATACCTATTCGACTGGCAGCAGAAAACAGAAAATGTAGAGACCGTTGCTGTGGCAACGATGCACGCGGTAGCCCCTAAGCGATATCGTGGGCGGGCAAAAACACAAAATCATAACATATCATGAATAAGCTGATAGGCGCACATGTCATACTGTACAAAACACGACAGGCTCTGAAAGGCAGCTCTGTAGCATAAGACGTCTTAGACCTTGGCGCTTGTAAGGTATCGCAGAGCCCTATTAATAACCTTAGACGAAAGAAATCACTAAAAGAAATGTCGAGGCTCTGAAACTGGAAGCCGTCCAAGCGCCCGTCGCACCGCACAGTGTGTAGCAGAGATTGAAGCAAGCTCTGCCTTAGCAACGCTTTACGCTCGCGCGCCGTGTGTACCGAAATAGACCCAATAGATGTCGGCCGGGTAAGTCTCTCAGAGCAAGCACACAGTTTATGGACCTCTCCTCAGGAGGTTAAAAGGCACCTCAGGGCCTGTAACTCCGGCTCGTCAAACACTGGATGTGCCGGTGCTCGGTGGTTGCTACCGATTGTGCTGGGCGTTTTATTACGTTATTACGTTACGTTTTATTACGTACGTGACGTTTACTTTGAACTCGGCTCATGGGTTGAACCATTTGACGAATGGCGTCAGACAATAGGTATATTGATAAATTCGGTTAAATTACTGTAAGCCACGATGCTTGTACCGATGGTACCGATGGTACCGTGGCCAGTACCGATGGTCCCATGCAGTTTAATTTAGGCTTATTTTAATTTTAGACAATACTGCAGAAAATTACCATTCCTTGTCAATTCTGGGCGGTGCCGCCAACAAAATGATTATCGCACCTGTCAGCCACAGGGACGGTGGGTATTTGATGCTCACAGTGCTCCCATTTCTACATAGATTTATATACGCTCCTTCCCCACCATCATCCGTGAGCAAACGCCCTGAATACGCGCCTGCGCGTGGGAAACTCGGGATTTCAGGAAGCCGGAATGATGGCTGTCCTGTCCTCGGCACTCCAAGGTCTTCGTCACAGCCCAATGCTTCTGCCCGGAGCGGGATCTAGGCTCACAAGCTGCATTGTTTGTCACGACGGCGAAGGAGCCCTAGGCAAAACAGAGCGTTTTGTGGTCTGTGTTTACACAATGTCTTTGGTATCGTTAAAAAGCCGTTAACAAGAGAAGGTGACCACTGATAACTCCACAAAAAGAGACGAGAAAATGTGTGTGAAGTTTGGTACATCCTCTGGCTTGGTTCGTTATACATCAGTAAGCCTGTGCATTTCGAAACGCATTTCTTCATCACCGTCGAGCGCCGTCGTTTGACCGCACCAGTCCAGTCAGAAGCCACAATAGTGGCAGTAAAGTTCAATAATCACCGGGAATTTCGGAGCCGCCAAGACGCGAAGCCGTGGCTATGCCAGCATCGTGAACACAGTGAAAGCCCACCGCAGTGACATGCCTGGGCGATTGAATGGACATTCCACAACTCTCCTTCGAACACTACGACCCTGGGCGGACTCTGTAAGGGCACTCAAACCCTTCTCCAGTTGATGTAAGAGCCTCGGCCGGCCACTGAGCCTCTCTGATCACCGCCAAAATGCTCTACCTGACCCCAGTAAAACCGTGGTGTCCGGTTCCGTTCAACGAGACCGGTCGCCGCTGCCTGGGTCTGGTCCTGGTTCTGCTCTGCATGGTCGGACTCCTGCTCACCGCCGGTGTCTTCATCATGTCGATCGACGTCGCGTGCATCATGTACCGTTTCCGCTACTTCTACCCTCCTTCAGAGCACATGTTCCGACCTCCGGCCATCGCGATGATCCACGCCGCGATTCATGTGGCAGTGTACATCTGGTTCGCCGTCGCCTGCTACCACACCTCACGATGGCAGACCCGCGCCAGATTCAACGAGTACATATCCGTCATGGTGTTTGGGTTCTTGGTGATGTCTATTTGCGAGCATGAGATCTACGTGGCGTTGTACCGCGGAGTGCGTGACTGGGTGCACACACTTGGGGACAAGATTGATGACGCCATCTTCTTCTACCGCTACAGCGACGAGGCTCGTGCAGAAGTCGACCGCCTTCAGTCGGAGAACCGGTGCTGCGGCGGCTCGGCCATCTGGGTCTGGCACATCATCGACTGGGTGGGTCTGCAGGACGAGGATTATCTTCCTCCGAAAGTCCAGCGGGAGCTGCACTCCAGATCCTGGCGTGCGGAACGCACCCTCCAGCAGCATCTGTTCCTCAGCTCGCTCAGTAGACGTATTGTGGAGACCCTCGCCAACCGCAGCATTGATATATGTTTCAACTGTCCAACTATCCGGCCGTGGAGTTGCTGTAATCCAGACATGAACGACCACCGTTGTCTGCCGTCTCCCGGCCAGGCCCGCACCTGGGAGGTGTACCGGCACATGAAGATGCACGCCGTCAACTGCTCCGTCGGCGTCTACGTCACCCGCTTCTACGACACCATGCTTGACTGGGGAGCCGTGGCCGAGGTCATGTGCTGGCTGAACCTACTGATCGCTCTGCTGGCCAAGTACCTAGACTCGGCCAGTAACGAGGCGATGATCTCTGGGTTTCCCGACGGACCCTCGAGGGGGTACCTGATGCAACGCTGCTGTGGATGGTTCTGTCCCAAGCCCGGCTTCATGCCAGAGCGGCCTCCTCCTGCGGCCATCACCTACCGACCCGAGGAAGCCACCTCGGGGATCTTCGGCGCCACGGACGAGGGTCTGGAGCGTCAGCTGGACGAGCAGCTGGAGCGAGAGGTGGAACAGAAGAAGGAGTGGAGGAAAGGGATGAGGGAGCAGAGACGACAGGATATCATCGACCGGAAGGCGGCCAAGCACCGGGAGAAGATGGGTCTGCTGGACTCGGACGCGACCAAGGGTGATGATGATGACGAAGAGATGGACAGGGGTGTGGACGATGAGGCAGAAGTTGTGGAAGAGAATGACGACTGGGCGGGCGACTAGCGCGGTAGCTCCGAGAAGAATGACCGAGAGTTTGAATTAGGAACTTCTGTCTGAGGTGTGACCTGTTCTAGAATACCATTTGGAGTGGCGTGTGAGAGCCAAGATTGTGCAGTAACGTGACTTGTCGCTGGTTGTAAGTTAAACCTGTATTAAATTGCTTCTCTTTACTGACACATGAACGCAATTGTATTTGGGTAAATAATGGGACAAGCTTTACAAATACGGGTATACATGTATTCCTGTTTGTCAAATGTATAAAGCCTCTCATCGTTTGTTATGCAACACATATAATTATGTACTAATTAAAAGCCGCGTCCTAAACAAAACTAAATAATATGGTAGCTCAAACCGCTAACACGTTCCTCACTTCGAGCATCAAATAACGTAACCAAATCACAGCATGCATCAGAAACATGCCCCGAATGAAGGGACAGGCTGAGACCCCCCCCCCCTCCCTGAGTCCCCTCCTCCTTACCTCATCTGGCAGCTGCATTGTGCAGCACTGTCACCTCGATGATATCGCTTCAGAAGCTAGCTCACAAAACAAAGCTAATCAAGAACAACCGAACCAGTGGACTACAGATCTCAGTCCTGTAGCAAAACTCAGCATAATGTACGGACCGCTCAACTAAGACAGCCGCATTATAACCGCGCGGTATGACCGTTAGTATGACCGTTCGGTCCAAGTATGAGCGTCCCTACCCCGCGTGGAGCCACGTCGGCTCCGCACAGCCGGGGCTTCATCGATCGACGCTGCTCACTGCGCATGCGTCAACAGCCGACGAGGCAGCTGAATGACTCGGGAAGCCCATTAGAGCTGCAAAGGATCTACTGAAGACGATTGATCAACGACGCGCGAAGTAATTGTACTATTCGTGTTCACTTAGAGCGACAACTGAGCTATCAATTTGCTCACATACTAGACGGCTTTCGAGCCCTGATTGGTCCTCAGTCGTGTCTAGGTATCCCTGGATCTAAAACAGACACAATTATTATTTCTCGAGAGAGGATATAGGTACACTGAAGGACGGCTAATCTTCCAGTCCATGCGATAGCAAGTTTGGAAGACCCCATTATTTGCCTGCAATCGTGTAGGTATATCGACAGCAAACTCTTCTAACTTGTAAGTGAACTGTTTCGCCGCCAAGCGTGCTCGGTACTTACAGATTCGTTTAGTTCTCAAATCGATATTGACAGTTCCGTTTCTAACTGATCCAGCTCCTGCAGGGCTCGCTGGAGGCCAGAGCCAACCCTCTGTCAACACGGTCCGGCAGAGAACTGCGCTCCGTGGCAACTGCTCCGTAGTATTGGACCTTATCATCGTAGTACACGGATCTCGGCTATCTGAATGATACGAGCGTCTGCTCGTATATACTCACTCGCTGATGCCACGTGTGAGTACTACTGTCGACACTCGTTGTGAGTTTATGCTCAAATGCCACGGCAAACAATGTGTTCGATGGCCAGGAATCCTGAAGGGACAGGTCAGACAGGCTTTGGTTTCACTGCCGAACATCGGTGCAGGCTTCGTGACCTTCACGAACAGTTGTGCCGTCAGTTTAGGAGGGGATGGGTCAAGGGAGGAGGGGCACTGTCGAGGAAAGTGGCAGGCTTGGCGATGGTACCTGCATTCCTGACGTCAAGCGAAGCATATTCCTGGTACTGAAGTTCCGAGTAAGTGAAACTGATTGATGAGCGATAGATGGGCTGAAGCAGACTGTCCTTGGAGCTAGCGGAAAACATGCGTTGTAGACGGTAATTATCATTGACGTGATGATCCACGTCATTTTTCTGAAACGATCAAACTAAACCTTCTCATGCTCCTTCGCACATCGACTCGCTTTCCCCGTTTCATCCTTTATTTAATGATCGGCTCAAACCGCTCTTTCCCGACACTTCCCCGGTCCATGAGTGAGCCATAAACCCGTCCATCAGCCTTCATCACGAGACGGTCGTTCGACTGACGACCGTCACGGAAGCTGGACCTGCCGTCACGCAGGGTCGGACGGCTCGTTTACGGTAGCTCGGCCACTCGTGGTGTCCCTCTAATGGAAGGCATTCAGTGAGAGTTCACGATGCAACGTCTCACTAACTCAAAGTCACGAACAAACTATTTGCTCGAGCTCTCTAATCAATGCTCAGTTTTCCTGTTACCAGAGCGCAGTGAACGCGTGACTGAAGTTCTTGTCCGATGTTCGAGGATGTGTAGTTACGTGCATCCGACCTTAACTTGTCCGGGGCCCCTCGTGAGCTTGAGGATGGCACCACACCTTATCATTGTCCTGTCCGATGTGCTACAGGAGCACCCAGGAATGCAGTTGTGCCAGTCACGGCGCTTGAAGCTTAACGTGAAGATTTCCAGGATATCCTTTCGTTTACAAATTTCTGATTATTCTTCCGACCTCCGCCGCAATTTTTCATTTGTTATGACCGTTATACTCGTATTGTACAAAGGAGATCGAAGCATACTCACCTCCACTGAACTCAGCATATTTATTCCTTAAATCCTGACTTTGGCCCAGCTCCGTCCAGTTGACTCATGGTTGAATATTTGCATAACTCCTCTCCAATTCATCTCGCATCGTCATTCGTCACCAAAACTCTTCACAGGTCAATGGCGGCATTATTCAGGATGATGCCTAGTGACAGTGCAACTGTCCACGCAAAGGTCGACCGACCGCTAACTCAAACTCACTCTTGTCCAGATTCAGTTAATCGTGCCGTTCGGGTGCTGCCGCTGCCGTAAAGAGAGGGGCGAGAGCTGCACCGCACTGGCTGAGAGAGAGAGAGGCCCTGCGAAACCTGTGGCCACCGACACGGCTGCTGCCCACGTTAATTCGCCGCCGCATGACGAGTGTTTCCACAGCGTCGGCCTGATATGGCACGGACTGGTCTGGGCCGACTGACCAGTCGGACGGCTGGCTGGACTGAGGTTTGATTTGTACCGGGCTGGGCTGAGCCTTGCTGTAGGGCTGGGCTGTGCTGGACTGTGCAGGGTAGAACAGGGCTGTGTCATGTGTGCTAGTTTGGGGTGGTTGGCTGGGCTTGGCTAGGCTTGCAGAGCTGGGCCGGTCTGGGCTAAGCCGGGTGGGGCTGTAGGAGGGTTGAGACAGACTTGAATGGATTACGAGTGGGCTTAAGCAAGCTTCAGGAGAGCTATGGGTGGGTCGGGGACGGTTATTGGATGGGATTGCTTGGACAGAGCTTTTGGACCTTATGAGACCGTCGCAGAATGGGCATACGAGGGCTGGTCGCAGAGCGGGTGGTATACGAGGGCCTGGATTGGACTACTGCGCAGTATTTCCTGACGAAGCTTTAGACTAAGAACGGACATGGGCACTGGGCAGTTATATTCCTCCCCCTCTACACACACACTACTCTGCTGCCCCGCTTAGTCCCGCGTAATATCAGCAGCCGGTCTGACCATTCAACAGCCCCGCTGGCCTCTTGCAGAGACAAACGGTCGAATTTGTCCGCCTGCGCCACAGCCACTGCGCTTGTCCCGCCACTACTGTTCCGACCGTTTTCAGCTCGTTGAACAAATCAGCGGTGAGGTCGGGCGCCGGTTCGGTTGGGCCCGACGGACGGGCGGGCACGGCGACCTTGGTAGGCCCGCCGTCCCGTGAAGGCACTTCGGCGGGCCTGGCTGGTGGAGGAATGAAGGCTGTGAAGGATTAGAAGCAGTGAGCACACGCGTGTTGTGTGCGTCGGCACGCGAGTGCGGAGGTGTGTATGCTGAAGCGGATGTCACGGATTAGTGGGCAAGAAACGATCACGAAATGTGACGTGAGGCGCTGGACGGTGCTCAACTCGCCCCAGGCTGTTGAGCGACCCTGAGCTGTTTACCTTCACAGCGTGACCAAACGTCTGCCTATCCATATCAACTGACTGAAATGTATTCCAGCTCACGTACACACAGATTGTCTTGAGCAACTCCATTGGCGATATTTTGTCATCCTCCCCAATCCATGTATCACCATATACGTCACCTGGAACTCGAGACGGACCCGGTCGGCGGGCGGCGTTGGCAATCGTTTTGGGCGTCGCGTCACACCGTCTCACCATGTTTCCTCACCTGGCTGCGCCGTCAAGAGCTGCTCACTGGCACTCACACAGCTGGATACCGTCTTGGCAGCTGGCTGGCTCCGAACAGCTGTTCCGGTATGACCCGCACGGCTGCTCCTGTGTGACCCGGACAGCTGCCCCTGTCTGACCCGAGTCAGCTGCTCCGGTGTGACCCGGGACAGCTGCCCCTGTCTGACCCGAGACAGCTGCTCCGGTGTGACCCGGGACAGCTGCAGCTGCTGAGCAGCTGTCGCGCTGACGTCATACGTCCAGCTGCAGCCTCAGAGAGTTACAAAGTCCTATCTCCAGAGGACCAGGTTACGTCACAGACTATAAGTTTTATACGGCGATTGGTTGGTAATGGAGTCTCTGCGCTGTGAGCCGACCCGAAGCTGTAATTTTCTGGCCCCTGAATATGACCATGAAGCTGGAAAGCCGAGGCTCTAATTAGAGCTAATGTGATTCCATTATGTATGGTCATTTTATCCCTTGATCAGGCTTTAGGGCTGTGATTAGCCCGTAGTGTATGCACAATGAAGGCACCTTCCCAATCTCTGATTAAGTGATTAAGTTAGTAAATGACAAGGGTCAATCGATAGTATGAAGCTTATTTTTCTGTAACAGTCTCCCGTTCCAGTCGCTCACATGCTACAGTTCTGGTCTTTCCTCCAAATCGCGATGTTAAAAGACCGATGTTAGCAAAGACTTCGCCTGTTTGGATATCATCTATAAAACGTCATAAGGAAGTGGTCTCGGGTGGTGCTCGAAACATTTACCTTTTTGCACAGAGTTCTTACGGCGGAAGCATCTCTCTTTAGTTCGGTATCCGAGTTCCGATCACAGCTGTGTTGTTTTGTGAGCGTCTCGCTTTATCCGGTCATCATACAACCTTGTCAGGCCGGGACGCGTACTAAAGCAGGCCTCGATGGACGTCCAACCCCCTTTATCTTTTACGCGCTCATCGCTGACCTCCTGAATCTCTTTTAGTGTTTGAGTGGTCTCCAGTGGCAGCCAGTGCTCTCCGTTCGGTCTAATGGCATTCGCTGGTTTTCCTGTCTTCGTAGGAAACGGATTTGTATTTAAGTGCTGACAGACATTCGACGACAGGGCTTTGCTTCTCTGTGCCCCTGTATCCATGGTCAAATAAAAAGACCTCTTAAGTCCTTACTATCACAGTCTCCATCGATCTAAACGTGGTTTATCTTGTCCTAAGTGACAGTGATCTTCGATGGTGGATAACATCTAACTCTCATTACTACCCTCAGATGATCTCGAAAGTTACACACGGTCCCCGATGCTCTCTCGCCGTTCCCATTTTCTCCGTGCCTTCATATCGCTTCAGCCATCCCTCAGAGTTCATTATCACAATCTCAGTCAGCAGTTACCGATGGCCACGAGCCGGACCTTCCAATACACGATACCAATCGAGGATGTGCCATCGAGAGACCTCCTATGAGAACTAAGCGAGAGGGAAAGTCAGAACGGCGCCGCGGTGGCACGGGGCAGTGTGGAGACACCTGCTGACCGGGCCAGGTTTCCACTTTCCACCGAATTATGTTGTGTCCGCGGCCGCGCAAACACCGCAGACGCGGCCTGTGATGTAGATGCTGGCAATGCGGTAAAAGATTGTGGTTTGTGAACGCATGTGACAGGAGCTTCGGGGAGATCATGCCGGGCACTGCGGTATAGTTAAGCGGTGAATCAGGAATGGTTGAAGCGGCTTAGGTGGCGATGACAGCGGCTGACGCGATTGTGACTGATTGTGACAGTGGCGGATGCGGCGACTGATGGCGGATGGACAGGGACTAGCTGTTGTCGTGCTGGCGGTGA